ACTATCGATTTGAGCTAAGTTTTGATGAAGTAACCACGAGAATGAGAAGAGTTGTATACTCGAGTTCCATATTGTTATGTAGACCCTTGAGTCGAGTCATTCATGCCCATAAATTTCGCATGGACTCCATAAATTGAGTATCATTGAGAGGAGTAGTATCTTCAAGTTCTAAGTCTTGAGTATAGAGGTCCTAACCTTTTTGAGATTATATTCCTAATCATGGGACTATTACATATTACCCATGAAGTCCTTGAGTTGAGTGGTTCATGCCCATAGTTCTGCATGGACCCTATAAGTCAAGTAGTCTTGGGATGAGAAGTATCTTTGAGTCCTTGAGTTGAGTAGTCCATGCCCATAATTCCGCATGAACCCTCTGAGTCAAGCATTCTTGAAGCGAGTCTTATCATTGAGTCTTGAGTTCTGAGTAAGGAGGTTCTTTATTTCTATTAAGATCCCTAAGTTGAGTTGTTCATGTCTATAATTCCACATGAACCCTATGATTTGAGTTATAAATTTTAAAAAGCTTTTTAAAGCCAACACTTGAGTTCTTAAACTGAGTTTTGAGAAAGTAAAGTTGGTTTTGAGAAAAGAGTTTTCTAAAACATGATTGGTATGACAATCGAGTATGCCATCAATGTATGAGCAGTATGGTATCTAGATATACCATAAATGTTTATGCAGTATGACTTCCCGAGTCATCAATGATCACATTATAATATGATTTTGAAATGTTTTTGAGAAAGAGCAGAGTTGAGTTCATTTTCTTTAAAATGATATATGGGAACTAAGTATTCCCACAAGTAAAATATTTTCACATTTAAACAAGAGAGGAAACACAGATTTTCAAGAGAGCTTTTAAGCTAGTTTTTGAGTAATAATCTCAAACCATAGAAAGAGATATTTTTAAACATATGAGCTGGGTATATTTTTGGGAGTAGTATTGAGCACCGATATGGGGACGAATTCAGATAACTCAAGTCTCCATAAATCATGTAGCCAACGTGGGTAGAAAGGGCCATACTTTTTAGATGATTCCTTAATGATTTTTTAGCATAGACTAGTGGATCCACTTAGTTGAGGCATTTTATATCCCAACAAGTTTTAGGACAGTTCTGGCAGCTTGGGCTAGACGTTGTATCATCACATAGCTCATAGTGATGGTTATCGATTAGAGAAACTCCCACAGAGTTGTATTATATTTTATTATATACAAATTGAGTTATTATTGTGTTCTTCAATACATTGAGTTGCTATCTACTGTTTTTAAAGTTTTCCATATATTGCATCTTTTATTGTTGCTTTATCTTGAGTTGAGTATCCAGAGTTGAGTATCACATCTTTTAGTTGAGTATCTTATTCTTGAGTTGAGTTGAGTTGAGTGAGTTCAGAAGAGGTAAGTATGTTTCTTTTTTATCAAGTTCAAGTCTATGTTTATGCTTTAGAATTCCCCTTACATGCTCATACATTCCACGTACTGAGCCATTTGGCCTGCATCATTTCATGATGCAGATACATGTATTCAGGGTCATCAACAGGAGCTTCGTTGATACCACATGGAGTTCGAGTTAGCTATGGTGAGCCTCCTTGCTTCCGGAGGGTTCCACTTGCACTTTCAGTTATATCAGTTGTTAGGATGTTGTGGGTCTTGTCCCAACTTCCATCTTTGTCGGTTAGAGGCTTCATAGATAGACAATAGAGTTTCAGAAATCTGTTTCATTTATCTTGTTAAATGTTTTAAAGACTTGAGTCACCTAGTTTTAGCTAGTTGAACAGACGATTATATTCTGAGTTAATTATTTGAGTTTCAATGAATTTTATTCTGTTTTAAGCTTTGTATGCTTAAGTTAGTCTTCTGCTTATAGTCAGCAAGGATGAGGGTTCGCTTGGGGACCAGCAATGGTTCTCGAGTGTTGGCCACATCCAGGGTGTAGGCTCGGTTCCTGACATTGATGGAAGAGAGAAATTTTCTTATTCAAGTGTGTCATAGAATGGTGATTGCTATCTCTATTTATAGGTTGAGAAATAAATTTTAAGGTCACCATGTTTAATGCCAAATTAGTAGATACATAATTATCCCAAAAAGGCTCATATTACCTTGGGAATACACATCCATGAAAACGATAAGTTCATGAATAAACTTGATGGTCAATCCATTTAGTTCAATGAATTTATAACACTCTCCCTTGAATGTCCATAGATAATATGTCTCGTTAAAATCTTACTAGGAAAAACCCTATGGGAAAAAATTCTAGTGAAGGAAAAAGAATACACATATCTTTTGATACGTATTATTTGTTGCCTCATTAAAAACCTTGCCAGGAAAACCAGTGGGACAAAACCCCGGTAAAGGAAAAAAGAGTGCAACACGTATTATACTGTAACACCCCGCTATTTAAAAGAGCTAGAATTAGAATGAACCATTTTTGGAAAGAATAAATTTGAAAGTTTGGCAAGTTTGCTAAATATAAGTTTTGGGTCAACTTCAAACGACCATAACTCTCTGTACATGATAAGTTAGGTAGGCTATAAGATGTCAAATGTAAGGTCTTGGAATTATCTTTCCAATGCCACCGAGTTTGCTAATTTCAAGCTCGTATGAGGGAGATATGCCCGTTCGAAGTCGGTCTAACCAGTTAAGGAAAGTTACCCAGATTTACGAGGGGTATTTTGGTCTTTTCCCTACCCAATTTGTTTAATTCATTTTTAGTAATTTAATTGGAGTCTAAACTGATTTGTTCAGTTTTCACTTTACAAAATTACACTAGGGCTTTGAGAGAAGAGAAAAGAGGAGAAAACCCAAAGTGCATCGTTCTTGAGATTTCACTTGCGGATTTCGCCAAGGGTTAATACCTACGAGGTATGTGTGTGGGTTAGTTCACCCACGTACCAATCATGATTTAATTCAGTGTATTTATGTTCTTGAAAGTAGAGTAATTGAGTTTTTGATGGATTTTGTTGAAGTTTCTATTGAGATCTTGATTGTTGAGTTTTTGAGAAGTTCTTGGGTTGATATCATGAGATTTGAGGTTGTTTTTTAGTAGATTCTTGTATACTTTGGTTGGGTATTCGAATGTAAGTGTTTGGGGAAGGAACCAATCAAATGTAGACGAATTAGGGTCAAAAAATGAATAAGAAAGTTCGTGGGTTTTTTGGGCAAGGGGTTGGTGTACCGCGCCACTCAGTGCGCTAGCAAGAGGGGTCTGTAGGATGAGCTCTGGGGCGCCGCTCCACTCAGTGCGCCCCAGCGTAGGTTCTATAGGATAGGGTCTGGTGCCCTGTGCCACTCAGTACGCTAGGGTCATCGTGTCCTCTACCCTTTCCCACTTCTTTTCGTTTGAGTTCCCTTGAACCGTACCTATGTTTTCTAGTTGATTTCTACACTCTAAGGTACATCTAAACATTATGAGATCTTCCATTAAATTGAATCATAACCTTGAATCCATAAATTCAAGTTCAAGGAAAGTTAAGAGCCAAGTCTAGAGAGTTCTTACAGTCTTTTCAAGAAGTCTTTTGCAAATGCTTTAAACTTGTTTTAAAACTTGAGTTTTGAGTTGAGTAAAGAGTAACAAATGAAGTTCATTTTCTTCAAAAAAGTATATGAGAACTATGTATTCTCAGAGAGTAAATGTTTTTACATTTAATCAAGAGAGGAAACACTGATTTCCAAGAGAACCTTTGGGCTTGTTTTTGAGTAATTCTCTCAAACTACAAAAAGAGTTATGTTTTTAAACATATGAGCTAGTTACATTTTTGGGAGTAGTATTGAGCACTGATTTGGGGACAAGTTGAGTTCAAATAATTCATAGTCTCCATAAATTATGTAGCCAACATGGGTAGAAAGGGTCATACTTTTTAGATGATTCCTTAGTGTTTTTTAGCATATACTAGTGGATTCATTTAGTAGTTAGGTTCTATACCCCCGACAATGTATAAGACGGCCCTGTCAGCGTTAGGCAAAATGTTGTATCATCACACAGCTCATACTGATGGTTGTCGGTTAGAGAAACTCCACAGAGATATTTTGCATTCTTATATACACATAGTTAATTGTATTTTGATATACAAACAGAGTTTAGATTGTATCCTTGCATACACACTGAGTTATTATTGTATTTTTTAATACACAGAGTTGTTATCCACATGTTTTGAAAGCTTTTCTTTATATTGCGTTTATATTACTGTTTTATATTAAAATTAGTTGAGTTGAGTTGAGACCAGGTATGTTCCTTCAGTTCCCTTTCAAGCTTATGTCTTGTTATATAATCCCCCCATATGCTTGTACATTCAATGTACTGATGCCATTTAGCGTGCATATTTTATGATGCAAATACAGGTAACCAGGATCAACATCCAGCGCATCGTTGATCCAGTTGAGCTTTAGAGTTGTTGGTGAGCCTCCTTGATTCTGGAGGATCCTCTTTTTATTGTTTTTATTAGTTCATTAGGATGTCGTGGGTCTTGTCCTGATGTCCATCTCAGTTGGTAGAGGCTTCATAGACAGTTAGTTGATATTAGTTCATGAGTCTTTTCCATTTTAGTTTTAATCTTTGAGACTTGAATTGCCATTTTGGCTAGTAAATATTTATTTATACATTCTAAGTTATCTATTGAGTTTTTAGTTTACTTTTAAAGTACATTTATGTTGAGTAAAGTCTTCCGCTGAGTAGTAAGCCAGGGCAAGGGTTTGCTTGGGTCTAATAATGGTTCTCGAGTGCCAGTCCCACCCAGGGTGTAGGCTCGGGGTGTGACAAACTTAGTATCAAAGCACGGAGTTCAAGAGTCATAGGTATTCTATGAATCCGTGTCTATAGAGTCCTAGGTATCAAATCGAAGTGCGCCACATCTATAATTAGGAGGTTGCGACACTTAGGAACTATCTCACTTCTTTCATACTCATTTCATGTGATAGAGTTTATCTAAAAGGTTTCTCTATAAGTCGTGCTTGCGCGTGTCTTTCAAATCATGCCTCCACGAAGAGCTGTCGGAGGTCTTCCTGCTAGATGGAATGTTGCACCACAAGATCAGGGGTACCTAATTCACCTGGAGTGCAACCCCAAGGAGAGGTCACCAATGTTGAGTTTCGTGAAGTTATTCAGGTGTTAAGTCAAGTTGTGACTAATCATGTTGGAAAGAGAGAGAATCGACATGAAGTGGATGATACTTCTAGGATCCGTGAGTTCTTAAGGATGAAACTTCCAAGCTTCACTGGTTTGTGTGAGGCTGTTGTTCCCCACCTTTATTACCTACTTTTTTGGGCTTCAAATTATGTGACTCATAAGCCCTTGATATCTAAAGATAGATGGCTAAAGGGCGAGTTCCGCAGTTAACTAAGAAAATGATCAATTGCCTTGGAGAGGAAAGGAAACTCGGGACTAAAAACAAAAAGGATAGGAATGAATTGAATAAAGAAAAAATATATAGAACCTTGAGCATTTTCTCTTCTCGGCAATGGTTGAGAGTAAAAAAGGGGTATCCGAGGATCCAAAAAACTTTGTAGAGGAACTTCAGAAGGTTTTGAGATTATGCATATTGTTGATGCTGAGAGGGTGGAATTAGCTGCATACCAAATGAAGGGTATTGCTAGAAATTTTTTGATCAATGGAAAAAGAATCGAGCTAAGGGTGCACCACTTGTGAGTTGGGCTTTGTTTGAGGAGGCCTTTGGGGTGTTTCTTTCCTCGTGAATTGAGAGAAGCAAAGGTACAAGAGTTCCTCACTCTTAAGCAGGAATCTATAAGTGTTTTTGAGTACATTCTGAAGTTCACCCAACTTTCCCCCTATGCTCCGGAGATGGTTGCTGACATGAGAAATATAATGAGATTGTTTGTTGCTGGGTTGTCTCGTCTTCCATGTAAGGAGGGAAAGACAACTATGCTAATAGGAGATATGGACATAGCAAGGTTGATGATGAATGTGCAACAGGTTGAGGAAGAGAAGTTGTAAGATAGAGAAGATTTTTGAAACAAGAGAGCTAAGACAGGGAATGAGTCCGGACAACAGAAGAGTAATGCCAACCGATCATCTCTCCAACAAGAACAAAAGGGACTTGCTCCATCATCTGCTAGTGCACGTGCACCAAGGAATAGAGGTGAGTTCAATAATCAGGATTCACAAAATTTCAGAGCTAGATATGCACAGTCTCAAGATAGTGTAGCACGAGGAGGTAATAGGACTCCTGCAAGTGCTAAGTGTGGTAGGAGCCACTCAGGGGGTGTGTCGTGAGGGCTCCACTGGTTGCTTCAAGTGTAGTCAAAATAGGCATTTTATGAGAGAGGGTCCTAAGAACATGCATGGTAATGGTAATTAGGGCAATAGAGCCCAATATTCTTCAATTGCTCCACCAGATAGAGCTGCATCTAGAGGAGCTATTACTTTAGGGGCAGGCGGAGGAGCAAACTGTCTTTATGCTATTACTAGTCTCTAAGAGTAAGAGGATTCGCCAGATGTTGTCACTGGTATGATACAAGTCTTTAACTTTGATGCTTATGCTTTGCTAGATCCAAGATCGAGTTTATCTATTGTGACTCCTTATGTTGCATTGAATTTTGATGTTCTTCTTGAGAAATTTCTTGAGCCATTCAGAGTTTCCACACCTGTTGGTGAGTCTATTCTAGCAGAGAGAGTCTATCGTGATTGTACCATTTTAGTCGATCACAAGAGCACCATGGCTGACTTAGTTGAGTTAGACATAGTAGATTTTTATATCATTCTAGGTATGGACTGGATTCATGCCTGTTATGCGTCAGTTGATTGTAGAACTCGAGTTGTTAAGTTCCAATTTCCTAATGAACTAGTTATAGAGTGGAAGAGTAGTTCAGCAGTGCCTAAGGGTCATTTTATTTCATACTTTAAGGAGAGAAAGTTAGTTTCCAAGTGGTGTGTCTATCACTTAGTCCGAGTTAATGACTCTAGTGTTGAGATACCTCATATTCAGTTAGTTTCAGTAGTAAGAGAGTTTCCAGAAGTCTTTCCAGAGTTGGATTGGGTTGTGTTTTAATGTAGAATGGTAAAGTTATAGCTTATTCCTCCAGACAACTCAAAGTTCACGAGAAGAATTACCCAACCCATGATTTAGAATTGGTTGTTGTAGTGTTTGCTTTGAAAATATGGCATCACTATCTTTATGGTGTTCATGTAGATGTGTTAACCGATCACAAGAGTCTTCAATATGTGTTTAGTCAGAAAGAGCTTAATCTCAGACAGAAAAGATGGTTAGAGTTACTTAGGGATTATGACATGAGTATTCTCTATCACACAAGTAAGTCTAATGTTGTTGTTGATGCCTTGAGTAGGTTTTCTACGGGTAGTACTGTCCATGTTGAGGAATAAAAGAGAGAGTTTAGAAAAAGATATGCACAGACTTGCAGGATTACGAGTTCGACTAATGGATTTCACCGAAGAAGGAGTAGTGGTGATGAATAGAGATGAATCATCATTAGTGTCTGAAGTGAAAGAGAAATAAGACCAAGATCCTATTTTTCTTGAATTGAAGGCAAATGTTCATAAGCAAAAAGTAATGGATTTTGAATAGGGGGAGATGGGATATTGAGGTATCAAGGTAGGTTGTGTGTCCCAAGGGTGAATAAACTCCAAGAGAGGATCATGGATGAAGCTCATAGCTCCAGATATTCTATCCATCTAGGTTCCACAAAGATGTATCGTGACTTGAGAGAAGTCTATTGGCTGAATAGTATGAAGACTTGAATTGCCAACAAGTTAAAGTAGAGCACCAAAGGCCCGGTAGTATGTCTCAGAATATAGAAATTCCAGACTGGAAGTGGGAGATGATCAATATGGATTTTACTACTGGTTTGTCGCGGTCTCGCAGGCAACATGATTCTATTTGGGTGACTGTGGATCAAATGATAAAATCAGCCCACTTTTTGCCGGTAAAGACTACCTATTCAGCAGAGGATTATGCCAAGTTATATATTCAAGAGGTAGTAAGACTTCATAGAGTTCCAGTTTTGATCATATCAGATAGAGGTGCACAATTACTGCACAATTCTGGAAGTCTTTCCAGAAAGGTTTGGGTTCAAAGGTGAACTTGAGTACTGCTTTTCATCCTCAAAATAAATGGTCAAGCAGAGCACACTATTCAGACTTTAGAAGATATGTTCAAGGCTTGTGTGATTGATTTCAAAGGTAATTGGGATGATCATCTAGCTCTCATTGAGTTTTCTTATAACAATAGTTACCATTCTAGCATCCAGATGGCTCCTTATGAAGCTCTTTATGGGAGAAGATGTGGATCTCCTAATGGATGGTTTGACGTTGGTGAAGCTGGGTTGATAGGACCAGACTTAGTTCATCAAGCCATAGATAAAGTGAGAGTTATTCAAGAAAGGTTGAAAACAACCCAGAGTCGCCAGAAATCCTGCACTGATGTTAAGAGAAGGGACTTGGAGTTTGAAGTAGATGATTGGGTATACTTGAAGGTTTCACCCATGAAAGGTTTTATGAGATTTGGTAAGAAGGGGAAGCTTAGTCCCCAGTATATTGGTCCATACCGAATATCCAAGAGGATTGATAATGTAGCTTATGAGTTGGAGCTGCGGCAAAAGTTAGCAACAGTTCATCCAGTGTTTCACATTTCTATGTTGAAAAAGGTTATGGGTGATCCTTCACTGATCATACCAACGGAAGATATTGGTATTAAGGATAGCTTGTCTTTTGAGGATATTCCTGTTCAGATTCTAGATCGCCAAGTTCATAAATTGAGAATCAAGGAGGTAGCATCAGTCAAGGTCTTATGGAGAAATCAGTTTGTTGAGGAAGCTACTTGGAAAGCTGAGAAGGATATGAAGAAGAGATATACACATATCTTTGAGCCCAGAGAAATTCCAGATCAAGGTACTAATTCTCTTCTTAGTACTCTTTAATTGATATACTGAATGTTTTAGATTTGCTTTTTGGGTGTTGAATTGAATGTTAGATGTTACACCCTTAGTCTACTAATAGTAATCTCATTCGAAGATGAATATTCCCAAGTGGGAAATATTGTAACACCCGCTATTTGAAAGAGCTAGAATTAGGAAGAACCATTTTTGTAAAGAATAAATTTGGAAAGTTTGGCAAGTTTTGGTACATATAAGTTTTGGGTCATGTTCAAACGACCATAAATTTTAGTACATGATGAGTTAGGTGGGCTATAGGATGTCAAATGAAAAGTCTTTGAATTATCTTTGCAACGCCACTGAGTTTGCTAATTTTTGAGCTCATATGAGAGAGATATGCCCATTTAAAGTCGGGTTGTTCAGTTAAGGAAAGTTACCCGGATTAAAGAGGGGTATTTTGGTCTTTTCCCTACCCAATTGGTTTAATTCACTTTTAGTAATATAATTGGGGTCTAAACTAATTTGGTTCAGTTTTCACTTTAAAAAATTACACTAGGGCTTTGAGAGAAGAGAAAAGAGGAGAAGCAAAAGTTCATCGTTCTTCAGATTTCACTTGCGGATTTCACCAAGGGTTAATCCCTACGAGGTATGTGGGATCACATAGAGTTGGGTTCATTCATCCACGTGCCAATCATGATCTAATTCAGCGTATTTATATTCTTGAAAGTAGAGTAATTGAGTTGTTGATGGATTTTATTGAAATTTCTATTGGGATCTTGATTGGCGAGTTCTTGAGAAGTTCTTGGGTTAATTTAATAGATTTGAGGTTGTTTTTTAGTAGATTCTTGTATACTTCAGTTGGGTATTCGAATCTAAGTGTTTGTGGAAGGAACCAATTGAATCTAGACGAATTAGGGTCGAAAAACGAACAAGAAAATTTGTGGGTTTTCTGGGCAGTGGGCTGGTGCACCAGCAAGAGGGGTCTGTAGGATGGGCTCTGGGGAACCACACCAAATAGTGTGCCCCAAACCAGGTTCTAGACCCTACGCCACTCAGTACGCCAGGGTCGCCCGGTCCTCTACCCTTTCCCACTTTTTCCCGTTTGAGTTCCCTTGAATCGTACCTATGTTTTCTAGTTGATTTATACACACTAGGGTACGTCTAAAAATTATCAGATCATCCATAAACATGAATCATAACCTTGAATCCATAAATTCAAATTCAAGGAAAGTTAAGAGCCAAGTCTAGAGAGTTCTTAGAGTCTTTTCAAGAAGTCTTTTGCAAATGCTTTAAACTTGTTTTAAGACTTGAGTTTTTAGTTGAGTAAATAGTAACAAATGAAGTTCATTTTCTTCAAAAGAGTATATGGGAACTATCTATTCCCAAAGAGTAAATGTTTTCACATTTAAGCAAGAGAGGAAACACTTATTTCCAAAAGAGCCATTGGGCTAGATTTTGAGTAATTATATCAAACCACAGAAAGAGTTATGCTTTTAAACATATGAGCAAGTTACATTTTTGGGAGTAGAATTGAGCACCGATTTGGGGACAAGTTGAGTTCAGATATTTCATGGTCTCCATAAACCGTGTAGCCAACATCGGTAGAAAAGGGTCATAATTTTTAGATGATTCCTTAGTACTTTTTAGCATAAACTAGTGGATCCACTTAGTAGTTAGGTTCTATACATCCGGCAAGGTATAGGACGGCCCTGGTAGCGTGAGGCAAAATGTTGTATCATCACATAGCTTATAGTGATGTTTGTTAGTTAGAGAAACTGCCATAGAGATATTTTGTATTCTTATTGTTTTAATTGAAAATATAAATAAAAGAAAAAATGACTAAGTTTTGAAAAATCGATTAAACTTATGATTTAAGAGAAATCGAATTTCCAAAAGAACAGAGACGCCACTTAATTTTTAGTAAAAATCAAGAATAACTTATAAAATTTTCAAAAGATTTAAACAGATAAAATCAATTGAAAATAAAAGGGTTCGAGTTCAAATGTACATTTCAAGAAGGTGTTAGGCCCTCAAAATTTCCGCTAACTTGTGATGACCGACGATTCAACTAAAATGTCTTTTCAAGTAACTTTTAAAATTTAACTAAGTTTAAAAAATGAAGATAATTTTAAGTTGTTACTTTAAAGGAAAGGTGGCATAATTCTTTTAAGACAAAACAAATCAAATATATAAATAAGTAAATAATAGATGTTTCAAAAAATAAGAAAGGCTATCTTGGGAACTTGATTAAATTAAACCATAAGAAACAAAAAAAACTTAGTTAATCAATAACAATCTATATATATATAATAGGAGAGGTACACGTTACATGTTGCACAATTATCAAGATGCAATGTCAATATGTAAATGGGCCGGATATCCTGATCTATTTATTACATTTACTTGCAATCCTAAATGGCCTGAGATCACTAGATTTGTGAACAGTAGGGGATTGCCTCCAGAAGATCGGCCAGACATTATAACGAGAGTCTTTAAAGTCAAATTAGATCAACTGATAAAGGATTTGCGAGACAACAAAATTTTTGGACAAGTAAAAGCAGGTATATTATTGCCTTATTATTATACCACAATTGTTTATTTTTAATTTGAAACAGTAATAAAAAATAATAGCATATTTATCCTTTGATTCAGTGATTTATACTATTGAATTTCAAAAGCGTGGATTGCCTCATGCGCATATTTTGCTATTTCTACATAATAAATCTCCAAATATTGGTGATATTGATGATATTATTTCAGCTGAATTACCAAATAAATTACTTGATCCGGATTATTATGTGGCTGTTACAAACTTTATGATGCATGGCCCATGTGGTTCAGTTAGAAAATCATCTCCTTGCATGCAAAATGGAAAATGTTCAAAACACTTTCCAAAAAGGTTTATTTTTTCTACCTCAATTGATGAGGAGGGATATCCTGTATATAGAAGAAGAGATGATGGCAGATCTACAAAGAGATCAGGTATTGATTTGGATAATAGATATGTTGTACCACACAATAGATTTTTGTTGTTGAAATATGGGGCGCATATTAATGTTGAATGGTGCAATCAACCAAGGTCAATTAAATACTTATTTAAGTATGTTAATAAAGGTCATGACCGTGTTACAGCTGCTTTTTGCGATAGTGCGAATTCTTCAGATTCAAGAGGGGTTGATGAAATAAATATGTATTGTGATTGTCGGTATATATCACCATGTGAAGCAGCTTGGAGAATCTTTAAATTTCCAATCCACCACAGAGAACCTTCTGTTGAAAGGTTATCTTTTCATTTACCAGGCAATCATAATATCATATTTTCAGATGATGATCCAATTGATGTTGTCATCAATAAACCAACCATAAAGGAATCCAAATTTTTAAGTTGGTTTGAAGCAAACAAGGAATTTCCTGAGGCAAGAGATTTAACCTATGCAGAATTTCCTTTAAAGTTTGTTTGGAAGCAACAATCTAAGAGATGGGTTAAAAGAAAAACTTCTGCATTTTCGATTGGAAGAATTTTCTTTGTTCCACCGGGATCTGGTGAGCAATATTATCTTAGATTGTTATTGAATATTGTTAGAGGTCCCACTTCATATGAGGATATCAGAAGAATAAATGATATTGATCATGAGACTTTTAGAGATGCATGTTATGCTTTAGGATTATTAGGTGATGACAAAGAATATGTTGATGCTATAGTAGAAGCAAGTCATTGGGGAATGCCATCATATCTAAGACAATTATTTGCTATGCTACTTATATCAAATTCAATGTCACGTCCGGAGGTTGTTTGGCAATCAACATGGCATTTACTATCTGAAGATATTCTTCATGAACAAAGAAGAGTATTAGATAACCCAGGTATTCAATACTGTTTTAAATTTAAATTAATCATATTATTATCATGAATTCTATTTTATTTTTGTTTGATTAATTAGTTTATTATATTTACGTTTAAATATTAATTTATTATATATATTATTTTTTCTGAAGCTTATCTATCAGATGCTGATTTGAAGAATTGTTGCTTGCAAAAGATAGAAAGTTTTTTAAAAAGTTGTGGAAGAAGTTTTTTAGATTTTCCTACAATGCCAATACCTGTTTACACTGAGGATGATGTTGACATCACTAATAGATTAATTTGTGATGAAATGCGTTACAATAAACGAGCTTTAGCTGTTGAACATCAACAATTGGTATTAAATTTAACGGATGAGCAAAAATCAGTGTATAAAAAAATTATGGCAGCAGTTAATGAAAATATGAGTGGATTTTTCTTTTATATGGATTTGGAGGAACAGGAAAAACTTATATTTGGAAGACTCTATCAGCTGCCATAAGGTCCAAAGGAGATGTTGTTTTAACAGTTGCATCTAGCGGGATTGCATCTCTTTTATTACCAGGTGGCCGAACAGCACATTCAAGATTTGTTATCCCGCTAAATATAACTGAAGATTCAACATGCAATTTAAAACAAGGTACTCCTTTAGCACATTTGCTAATCAAGACTAAGTTGATTATTTGGGATGAGGCTCCAATGATGCATAAACATTGTTTTGAAGCTCTTGATAAGACTTTAAGAGATATTATTGGCTACAAAGACGCAACTAAGTCAGAATTACCATTTGGTGGTAAAACAATTGTTCTTGGAGGTGACTTTAGACAAATTCTTCCTGTGATCCCAAAAGGTAGTCGCCAAGATATTGTTAATGCAACTCTCAACTCTTCATATTTATGGTTCCATTGTGAATTATTAACACTGACAAAGAATATGAGGTTGCAAAACAGTGACGCTGATACTGATCTAAAAGAGTTGCAAGAGTTTTCTGATTGGATATTGGCAGTTGGGGATGGTAGTATTGGTAATTCATTTGATGGAATTGATAAAGTTTTAATACCAAAAGATCTTCTAATAACTGAATATACTGATCCAATAGCAGCTATTGTGGAAAGTACGTATCCAGATTTCAGTACTAATTGTAATGATGTTGGATACCTACAACAAAGAGCCATTCTTGCTCCGACTCTTGATATGGTGGAATCAATCAATCAATATATGATCTCCTTGAATCATAATCCTGAGAAATCATATTTGAGTTCTGACAAAATATGCAAGTCTGATCATACTTATTCAGCTTTGGAACATGTCCACACCCCAGATTTTTTGAACACTATTAAATGTTCTGGAGTTCCAAATCATTCAATCACTTTAAAAGTTGGAGTACCAGTGATGTTACTAAGAAATATTGATCAGGCAGCAGGACTATGTAACGGCACTAGGTTGATTGTTACTAAACTTGGAAATCAAGTAATTGAAGCAAAGGTTTTATCTGGACAGATGGCTGGACAGAAGGTATTTATTCCAAGAATGAATTTAACACCTTCAGATGCTAGAATCCCATTTAAGTTTCAAAGAAGACAGTTTCCTATAACTGTATCATTTGCCATGACAATCAACAAGAGCCAAGGACAGTCTTTATCTCATGTTGGATTATTTTTGAAGAAACCAGTGTTTACCCATGGACAACTTTATGTAGCTGTTTCTAGAGTAACAAGTAGAAAGGGATTAAAAATACTGAGTTACAATGATGACGGACAATTAACTGATGAGGCTATAAATGTAGTATATAAAGAAGTGTTCCGAAATCTATTGTAATATACAGATTCTTTGGGATGTTTTATATATACTGTAATTGTTGATGATTATTATAAACAATTTTGATGAAGTTGTTATTATAATTATGGTATCATTTATGCTATTTTAACCAACTAAATAATTTTTAATAATATTGTGTTCTGTGTAGTACACCTAAAGATAACATTATATGATATAAAATGTTATGCGATTACTTTAATTAATATACAAATTTATTAATTTTAAATTAAATTTTTATCATGTAAATTGATGGATTTACCTATTTTTGCATTGTTTTTTCAAGCTAATGACAGTCAAGAAACGTTAAAAAGTGTTATATGCAATCAGAAGAAATAAGAGTTCTAAAAGGACAAATATTAATAATGAATGTTCAGGTACAATTTTAATCTTTAGTATTTGCATTACACATTTTCAGGTAAAATTTTAATCTCAAAATTTTTCATTATACTTCTCTAATATTTCCTTTAGTCTTCTCTAATATTTCCATTATTCTTTTATCATTACTTTGTTTTATAAAGAATAATAATAATTATAATATTTTAAAATACTTTAAATAGATTAATATTGTTAACTCTTTTATTGACATTGGCAGATAATACAACTGATATTTTGAGTTCTTGAATTTGAAAAATTGGTACCAAGAGTTTGAAAAAACGGAGGGGAAGAATACACTTATGCATATAGTGAACAATTTCACTCTTAAGTAATTGAGTGTGCTTTGAAGATAGTATCAGTCTCTTTCATTATATTAAATGGAACCGCATGTTGACATAATTTTTTTATAACTAAACTATATATATGCAATGGAGGGCTTGGTTCTATATACTTTTTAAACTTTAGATTTAATTGTGCTATCCTGTAACAAGTATTTAAAGGAGTTCATATATGCTTTAGATATTTCAAAGAAGCAACACATTAAAAATAGACTACAATAAGTTTAACCAACTAAACACACAATTATTTACGTTATGTTAATTTTAGTAAACTGAATTATAATCTATCAAGCATATCAATTTTATCATTAAGCTCTTCATCTGAACCATGAATCATAATATAGGTATAAGCACATTGAAACTACAGAAAATATCAATATAAATCAGATTAAAATATAGAGGCTGTTGTAAAAAGAACCAAATTGAGAGGAAAATAAAATAGCTTAACTACATATTTTTAAATGTAAGACATCTTTTCGAATTTTTAAAAACAAATAATCAGTTCTCTGCTCCTTCAAGAAGCAATAATTCATCACAATCTACTCTAACAACTTGGTTAAGCAGAAAAAAATAAATAAAGATAGAGATGTAACCTGACATTGCAAAGAACATAAAAACTGATACGACCACATCATAAACTCTCAATTTCCAAGCAAAATAACAAAATCTGAATCAACATAAGCTTATTACAACTATGTTATAGCATGCATGTACTAATTAAATTAAATTTAAAATATAATACCTTAGTTGACCATCCCAAAGAGAGTAACATCGACGCAAAATAGAGCTGAAGAAGACATCAACTGATAAATTTTTCAAAATTAACTCCATGACAAGAAGATGATGCATGCTAATACTCTTTAATCGAAGTTTTTATTAAACAAGGTCAATTCAAAAAAAAATATGAACTCACCATTTCACGAAACATATGATTGTTGACGGAACGACTCTAGATCTAAATACAATTCCGATCAAAATCTTATTTCCAGTGTGATACCTGCTTGAATAAAGTTTTTCTTAGGCTATGTTCTAATTGGAATGTTCAAATGTTGAAATGAGAATTTTTTTTTCCAAAGTTATGGTGATGAGATTTAAATTATAGATTTCGTTCTTCCAGAAACTTTTTACAAGGAAGCATCTGAAAAAATTAACAATTAGAAAGAACCCAATTGATAAAGGGTAAGAGAAGAATATAAAGAAAACAAAGGAACAACACTTACAGTGAGATGGAAAAGCACACAGGAGCTAATAGATGACGGAGTAGCTCTGACCGGCGACGATCTAAAGAGGAATCTCACTTTCCTAATCTCAAAAATCATATTCCATCGGTGCAAGTTTGGTCTCCTTCCACAATCTAGATAGATCCATTTTTTGTAAGTTTTCATTTTGTTTTTTCTTATTTTCTACTACCTGACACTTTCCTCCGACTTTTTGTTTACATTTTTTTGTTATTCAATGAATTGGCACATTGCCATTTTGTTTAATTAAAAATAACGAAAGAAAGATGGATTGAAGTCTACTATACAATTAAGGCACACTAATCAATATACCTAAAAAGTTGTATTCTTTTATATTACTTCCTTCATTTTATATCTCCTTCGTCAACTTTTAATTGTCATATTTAATTTTAGAAAGTTTATTTGATCAATTTTTAAAATAAAATATGATTATATTAAATCGATATTTTAAGAAAAATATTTTTATATTTCAAAACTATACTAAAAGTACTACAAATAGCCATTATTTGCATATTAATATGATGAAAAAATATATTGTAAATTGTTAGTCGAAATTATTATGTTTTACTCAAAAAAAAAATATGACAATTAAAAGTGAACTGATGGAATATTAGTTTATTATTATATTAAATATAATTGTTGCATATTAATTTATCATTATACTAAATATAATTAATTTATATTAGTTGATCACTTTACTAAATCAATAAAATTTTAATAACATTTTTTACTACTCTTGCAATTAATTTTATTTTTTAAAGTATTCATATTTGTTTGTATAATATACAAGAAGTATTTTGAGGCGTGAACTTGAAAAATAATCTTCTTATTTATGTTTTTTAAGCAGTGTAAAAAATTAATAGTGAACAACTAATATGAGACGAATAGAGTATTTCACATACACAATACCTAATATAGTTTATTATATTATATTATATATTATTATGAGTAACTTATTTTTTTTTTAAGTTTTCATTTTGTTTTTTCTTATTTTCTACTATCTAACACTTTCCTCCGACTTTTTGTTTACATTTTTTTGTTATTCAATGAATTGGCCCATTGCCATTTTGTTTAATTAAAAATAACGAAAGAAAGATGGAAATATTGAAATGTGTGCATACATTGAAGTCTACTATACAATCAAGGCACACTAATCAATATACCTAAAAAGTTGTATTCTTTTATATTACTTCCTTCATTTTATACCTCCTTCGTCAACTTTTAATTGTCATATTTAATTTTAGAAAGTTTATTTGATCAATTTTTAAAATAAAATATGATTATATTAAATCGATATTTTAAGAAAAATATTTTTATATTCCAAAACTATACTAAAAGTACTACAAATAGCCATTATTTGCATATTAATATGATGAAAAAATATATTGTAAATTGTTAGTCAAAATTATTATTTTTTACTCAAAAAAAAACATGACAATTAAAAGTGAACTGATGGAATATTAGTTTATTATTATATTAAATATAATTGTTGCATATTAATTTATCATTATACTAAATATAATTAATTTATATTAGTTGATCACTTTACTAAATCAATAAAATTTTAATAACTTTTTTTACTACTCTTGCAATTAATTTTATTTTTTAAAGTATTCATATTTGTTTGTATAATTCACAAGAAGTATTTTGAGGCGTGAACTTGAAAAATAATCTTCTTGTTTATGTTTTTTAAGCACTGTAAAAAAATTAATAGTGATCAACTAAGATAAGACGAATAGAGTATTTCACATACACAATACCTAATATAGTTTATTATATTATGTTATATATTACTATGAGTGGCTTATGTTTATTATGAAAATTATAAAAACATTACTATTGGGACCACAAAACAACTTTATATTTTGATTAAAATAAATTCAAAAAATATATAATGTATTTCATTTAATTTATAGTTTATTTAGTTTCTTTGGATATTTATATTCCATATAAACTATAACTCAATATATATTTTATAAAATATTTATTATATCCGCGCAACGCGCGGGTACATATAGTAGTATAAATAATAATAGAGGGGGAAAGAAATAATTATACAGGTTTTCGGCCCAAATCCAATTAAAATGACCTTTTGGCCCACATGTCCTAAAGTCTAAAAAAACTAAATTATGGGTTTAGGCCCATTTTAATCCAAAAGTTGCTGGCTATTTTACTTTGGACTTTTGTGTCCAATTTACCATGGGACTTGTAGCTGAAAATGGTTCAAGGCTTTTGGGCCTATTTGCCTTTGGAAAATTCGTGAATACATTCAGCGTATACCACTGTATATGGGTTGTATTTTGACTTTTTTCTTGTGTATCAGACTATATACCATGTGTACAGAACATAATTCAGCTTCCAAGTACTTGTGTTTCGCTTTCAACCTGTATATCAACTTCTCTTTCGTTCGGTTGAGTGATGAAGCTGACTCAAGACAACTCAAAGATATGCAAGGAGGAGTCCAAAATGGACTCTGATAGATTTGGATGCAAAACGATAAACAAGTTATAGAATTAGAAATTTTGGGAAATAAATGAGGTGATAAAGGTAAAATAAATTTGTAAATGAAATAACACTTGACAGTCAATATTTTAACAACACAACACATAAACAATAACTTGAATGGAAAACTGATGAAAACTTGTTAATTTTTATAAATCGTGAAAGAGGAGCAGTGATAAGTATCAAGCATTAGAACAAAGGTCATATGAGATGTAAACTAATAAGTTTTTAATAAAGACTATTACTTATCACAAGATTAAAATCACTACTGGGCAGGTTCAAAAACAGAGAAGAAAGAAATTTTAATTAGATATAAAATGACAAGATCAACCCACATGCTCTGCGAAGTCTCAATTGCACATTAATTGACACCAACTAGGACATAAACTCATCCACTCATTTTAATGAACTAATATGAAGACCATATAACATGTAGGAAAACTACTAGCAATTGTGTTCATACTTAAAAAAAACAAGCATGCTATACACATAAAAACAAATCAACTCCAGTAAATTCGCTCCAAAAATCTTAAAGGCACAGCTGAAACTTTGACAAAACTAAGGTATTAGGCAGAAAGAGCCATAGACTTGATAAAAAAATTGATCATGTTAGGCAGTAGGAAGCTAGTCGAGATTCTGCCTTCACATAGACAACAAAATTAACAGCAACAAACTAGCAAAGATCGATACTTAAAGATGAAGCAAAATACAAATAAGAGCAAACCAATTTAGTCACAAGTAGGTGAAATTAATGCAGAATGAGAGGTGATAAGGACGCGACGATAATCTTAAATAACTTAAAGATAAACAATAAAACTTGGGTCTGTCGATTTATTAACATAATGCAAATCCGGTTTAAATGATGGAACTCATGATCTAAACAAAGGTAAGCAACCAAGACAACACCACGATAGATATTATCTCGAGATGAACTCCGAACACATACAACACAACAGAGCTATCAAATAACAAAAACCTTCTCAAAATGGATAAGAATATTAAACAATAAGATTTCAGATGAGAAAAACCAAAGAAGTATATAACTCGTCTAGTCGAGAATCAAACATGTCAACATATTGAGAACAACAGAGGCATGAACAGAAATAGGTTTTACCTTTTTTCAGGCAGCGACTGAGACGCTACGAGATTGACTGAGCGATCCAACCACTAACGACCTCACTGGTAACATCGAACTCAAATGAACCTGGGGGAGTGATGGACGGAAAGAGTGAAACTAAGCCTCAAAACGATTTATATTCTCTATTCTGGAGTGTATTTCAAATGTGTTTTTGCTAAGGTTTTCCTTTTGTGTATGAGTTTCCTCCCGCCTTTAACAAAGTGGGGAAAGGAGTTATATATAGAAGGAGAAATAGGGCTGATTTAAGGGGGGAAATGGGAGGGATTAGGAAAGATTTTCAAAATTTGAAATTCGAACCTCTCTTGAGGATAAGGTTGCTGACTTGAATTAGTACAAATCTCCAACGGATTTGGAATGGAGGTTGCTTGATTTGAGTAAAGAACGATTGAGGAATCAAGATTTTGACACATATACCATTTTTGAAATGGTTTTGGTATGGAGAGAATGATGAAGAGAGAAGAGGCCACGCGTGATGGAGTTGGGCTCATGTTCGATGGGTTGTGATTCCAGTTGCATTCTGGTTGTTATTCTTCGCGAGAAAGAAGAACAGTACATGGTCAGGTTTCTGGGTTTGTTGTTGTACCGTATTCGGTATGAAATTGGGTTTCTTTGGTATTGTTATGTATTGTATTGTTGTATTTTGTAGGCTGGGTTTTCGTTATTTGGAAACTAAAGTGGGCTGGGAATTGGAATTGAACTGGTGGGCTGCACGTGAGAATGGAATTGTTGTAATGTTGAATTGGAAATTGGGAATTGAAAACATAAAAATGGGCCGAGAGGATTGGATTTGATGGTAGCCATTTGGACCAAATTGTGGTCAATTTGAATTGAGAAAATAACCACATGAATTGTATTGGTGTAATTGGTTAAATTATTAAAAATTTAAAATAAGATGAATTGTTATTAATTAATTAACAAGCTTCTTAATCTTAACGAAATAAAATAATTAACTTAATTATAAACTAATTAATTCAAAAATATAAACTATTGTATAACTAAACTAATTAGTAAAATATTCAAAAAAAACAAAAACAAAATTGAAATGATTTTCGAATATTTATAAAATATACTAATTATATACAAATTTATATATAAACATATGTATTACTTAAAAATTATAAAAATGATAAAATTAACTAAAAGTAACTTGAAAAATATTTTGAACTTTATAAAAACTAATTAGTTCAAATCGTTTGAAATTTAAGAAGCTCGATGATCAATCTATATTGTGGAGGTCTAAATTGGGTGTTAACAATTGTCCCTTGTTTGACTTGGATTGATGAAAGAAATTCTAAGAAAATGAAATTGACAAATCCAATTGACCGACCACATATACATCTCTTTAGGAAAAGGATTTTGCTGTGGACTTTAGGAATTATGGCCGAACTCCAGTATTCGAGTTTCCTACATATCTCAGGCTAAATGAGAATTCAGGCCACCTGTAGTTCGA